GCTGCACCCTCCTAGTTACTTTCCTTTCCGACACTGCCCCTGCCCCCTTTCACCGCTTTTTCCCCGATGCCCATCCCCTCACCCCCCTTTGCCCCCATTCCTCTCATGCCCCTATGCCCTCACACATGACTTGCTCCATCCCTGCCTTCCTCATGCCCACCCCTTCTTTCAAGCCTTCTCCCAGAACCTCCCTCTCCCCCCTCTAACTTCCAATGCCTTTACCCTCTCCCTTCCCAGCATCACCCTGTCCCCCTCCCACTGACACCTCCCCTCCTGCCCTTTTCCTCATTGTCTCCACTTGGCCCCCTGGCATTTGTGTCTCCTCTACCCTGTCCCTTGGTGCCTTCCCCTTTCTACTCCTGACCTGCCCCCTCTCTCTCCCACTCCTTCCTCTTATTTTTCCTTCCTTCCCCATCCCTCCCCTCCCTTATTTTTCCTTCCTTCCCATCCCTCTCCTCCCTTCCCTTCCCTTATGTTCGGCTTTTGCCTTCCAGCTTGCAGGGCTGGAGTCAGTCGGCCCAAACTACAGGCCGGCCAGGGCATAGCCCAGGGCGCCTCAGGGGCGCCACGCAATGCTGCTGGGCCTTGTGGGGGTGCTGCTGGGGAGGGGTGGGGGCCTGGGCTGCAAAAATGGCTCGGGCTGGCATGTGTAGTCGGGCCCCAGCTGCCTCTGGAGCTGGGCAGCGCGGTTTTAAAATCCCAGACGTGACATCACACCATGCCCGGGTGTCTCCCCTCTCACCTGTTGCGTGGCTTTTGAGGACGCCGCGCATGTGCTGTGTCTGCCCCACAGTGCCTCGTAGTTGGTTGCGGGGAATTGAAAATGAGGGGCTATGGTGCCCCATTAAAAATCCCCATCTAGCCGGCCCGAGACATTAGGGTGTGCCTGGGCACACCCGGCACACCCTGTGCGCATGCCTATGATTAAAGGGCTCAATTTTGGTACCGTAAAGCCTTATAATGGGCATAATGTATAATTTTTTTTGTGCCCTTCTAGCATGCCAGAGTGGTGTAAAGAGACCTTAGAGTAAATGAGAATCAGGCTTTACAAATTCTGTGTCAGTAAGCTTAGGTTAGTCCTTCTGAGGTTCAACATTTTAACTCACCGTACTACTATAGGTTGTACCTCCCTTTACTGGGACTCCTTGGTCTGGCAATATCCATGGTCCGGCATGGACCATGGATGTTCCTGGACCACAGAGCCCAGGAAGAGGGAGGTCTGGTGGCAGGGGCAGGAGCCATAAGGGGCACCAGCGACTCAGCTGGGAGCCCAGAGAGTGTGTGTGTGGTGGGAGGATGGCACGGCAGGGAGTTCTGGCACCAGCAAAGCTCCTTGGCCCCATTAGCTGGGGAGCTCTAGTCTGGCCTGGCCGTGGATCTCCAGCCCTGGCCAGGGAGCTCCGATCCCCCCAGCAGCCAGGGAGATCTGGCCCTGTCCTTGGAGCTTTGACCTTGTTCTCACTCTAGTGGCTGGGGAACTCCAGCACCAGCCCCAGCAGCAGTCAGGGTGCTCTGGCCTGGGCCGTGAAGCTCTGGCTCTGTCCCTATGCCCCATCTGCAGAATTCCAGCCCCAGCCATGGAGCCAGGTGCTGCAGAGCTCTGCCCCTGTGCAGCACGGGGGCCATGGAGAGCCCCGGGGGTCTGAGGCAGCAGCAGGGGCAGGTTGGAGCCATAGCCCGGTGGCAGCACGGCCACGAGGGGAGGGACCGTTTCTGGTCCAGCAAATCCCCTCGTTTGGGACCAGTCAGGTCCCGAGGGTACCGGGCCAGCGAGGTCCAGCCTGTACACAGTATACCAATTTGTTTCCTCTCCTCTCCTGAAATGGCTGCATTTTCATTATGTGTGTATGAATGCTTTGTAAAACTCTGTGTAAGGAAAGGTGCTGTATGAATGTGAGGCAGTGGTGGTGGTTTTAATTTTAAAGCTAGCATATCACTTCTGTCCCAGGCAGTCTGAGTTCTTGGGTTCAGAGTAGACATGTACAAAAAAGAAAGGCAACGTTTTCATAATTTTCATATGAGGTTCTCAAAGATTTCATAGACTTGGGTGAGGGAGGTGTTTGCGTATGAAATACTACTTTTCATCGTCCTTGAGGGAAGTGAGGAAATTGGGATTTTGGAAGAGAAACATGCTTTATTATAGGATTGAATGTTGCTAATATTTCCCCACAGTTATCCCAGATAAAAAAATTACCAGTTATAATGGTTTGGGTTGACTTTTTTTTTTTAATCTTCAAATCCACTTTTTAAATCTTTCATCTGTGTAAATTATTTCCTTGTGAAAATTGTAGAAGGGGTTGAAATATGGTTTTCAGGGGGAAAAAAGACAAATTGCTGTTTTTATTGTTAAATATTAGAATAATGGCAAATATTGGAGTAACTGTTCATGCATCTTTGAGCTCAGTTTTTGTAACTTTAATCAATTTCTTTACCCCATTTTAGCATAAACTGATTCAAGATCAGATATAATTAAGGTAAATGAATTGTGCTAGATCCACAGCTGGAGTATACCAGCAGAGCTCCTTTGCCTGTAAGCTATCTCAGTTTAAATCAGCTGAGAATCTGGTGCATCAACTCCAAAGTGTCTTGAAATATGTGAGAAGCCCTAGCCTTTTAGTACAGGACATCTTACATATGGAGAGAGTTATAAAACATGAAGCTGATGTGCTTCTGAATTCAGCAATACCTTTCTAATGAAACCTTTGCCCTCTTAAGGTGAGAAACCGTACCAATGTGACTTTAAGGACTGTGAGCGAAGGTTCTCTCGTTCAGACCAACTCAAACGACACCAAAGACGACACACAGGTTTGTCGAATATAGTTCTCTCCTCTCTAATGTTCTTCTTAGTGGGCGAGTTTCTATTTCTGAGAAGATTCAGCATTAGTTGGACTCCAGGGATTTTCTGTTCGCATTTCAGTCTCACAAGTGTATGCCTCAATAATAGAGCTTTTGGATTCTGTAAACTTGTATCAAAACTCTCCAAAATAAAACATTCTGCTCTCTGGAGTGATATGAAAGGGGTGGGAAAAAGTATCTTTAGAACAAGGAATTATTAAACAAAATAAAAACATCTACTACCATAATTTAAAAATAATTAACACACTCATACATGGGTGCATTGATATGCAATGGAAAAACCTGCACTCACCCATGTGAGAGGCTTGAAAGGCAATGGAACGATCATGCATTTTCTGTACAGAAAGGAAGAGCAAATGAGAGAGTGTACACTACACCCCCTACTTTTTTACAGAGCACTGCCATTCATCCAGATCCCAAGCCTGCAAAGAACTTATGCATGTGCTTAAATCCCACTTCCTTTAGGCATGTGGCTATACTGGCCAAAATCTCTGTGCAGGAAACACATAGTACACCTTGGCTACAGGGTGGAGAAAATAGCAACAACATGCAGCTCTATGGCCTGACTCCTGATTGAGTAATATTACAAGGTTCCTTATGCAAAGTCAGTTTGTTCAGTTTCTTCCTAAGGAAGACAGTTTGGCCCTTGAGAGGTAGTGGGAGAATTATGATGGACTTCAGCTGTGTGTGAAACTTTCCATAATGAAACCTGAAATTATGGAGATCTCTGGGTTAAAACATGAAAACTAAGAGTTTCATGTAAAATTTCTTTGGGTCTTGCAGACCTTTAATTTGCATGCTCAGTGGTTCTTTTGGGGGCATAAAGTGAGCATTTTTGAGACTTATGAGGCTTCACTTATTTTCTTTCCTAATATATATATTTTTGATAATCACATGGTAGGTCTTCTGGGTTGAACAAATCCTTAAGAATCCATGTACAGTATATATTGTGTTATAAAACTTGTCAGCTGGCTTTCTTATTTCAGTCTGGTTTTACCAAATTAAATTCAAATACACAAAGCTTAAAGTTGAATGTCAGGCGCACCAAAACACAGGAACCACACATTGAATAAGCTTCACAGAGCTTTTCTTGATCATGGTTTTCAGATTTTGTATCCTGTGATTACTGCTTGTTTACACTGGCTGCAGCTGGGGACACTTTGTACCTGAGAGTGTTAACTGGTTTTTAGGAGAAAGATAGTGTTACGAAAGGCTAAGTTATGCAGCGGTCTGATTAATGATCTTTGAGATATGTAGTATGTAGGCGGGTAGCTGGGGAGGAGTAGTTACAGGAACGATTAAAAAAAATTCCAGTATTTTGAAAATTCAGAAATAACTGATCTCCCTGACCCTTCCCACAAGGTGTTTGAATATGGGAATAGACTTGTTTTATCTGTTTAGGTGTGAAACCCTTCCAGTGTAAAACCTGTCAGAGAAAGTTCTCCAGATCCGATCATCTGAAGACTCATACCAGGACTCATACAGGTAAAACAAGTGCGTAAACTTTTCTTCACATTTATATTTCATTATTTATTTAAGCTAAATTAATTTTACTGTGATTTACTGTGAGAGTGTCTTTGAAACTTGGCTAACATTTTCCAAAGTGCTGAAGTGTTTTAGGAGCCTGACTCCCAGAGATTATCAGTGAGTCTTGGCTCCTAGATGCCCAAATCAGTTTTCAAATTAAGACTTAGGCACCTGTGTTATTTGGGTGCTTTTGAAAATGTTACTCCTTGTTACTTTGTGCTTTTAGGATATATCAGCTTGGAATAATGTATTTTGTCAGCTTTTGTGAAATGGCTGTAGTGATCTCAGCCTACCGGCATCCACTGTGCATAAACGATCATCACCATCATTGCCTACAAAGAGGCCAGTTAGTGCCAGCCTCAGCAGAAGGGCCAAGGAATTAGAGGATCCTCTAACCCAGAGGTCTGCAACTTTCAGAGGGGGAGTGCCAGGATTTGACTTATTCGCCTCTAAGTACAGATCTGAGTGCCAGAGATACTTTTAAAAGTCAATAATAGTTTAACTTACAGCAGTTTCATTAATAAATAAATTAAGATGCAGATCTTACTGTTTAATGTAGGGGTCGGCAACCTTTTAGAAGTGGCATACCGAGATTTAATTTATTCATGGATCTGTGTGCCGGGGGGAAGAAGGGAAGAGGGGAGGCAAGGGCAGGCTGGGTATGGTGACCTTATTTTCTGAACCAGCTGCAGTTTAATTTAAATTATAAAACAGATGAAGTGTTTTAACTTTCTCATGTTAGTTTATTAAACTTCATTTTAAATAAAGTAAAATGTTACGTCCAATACAAGAGGTTTCAATATTTTCTTTATTTATGGCAGGGGTGGGAAACCTTTTTTGGTCAGGGGTCACTGACCCACAGAAAAATCAGTTGGGGACCGCACAAGTGAGAGGTAAAAAAAACTCCTCCAAAAACCCCCAACTGACACTGATGTGGCCCCAACTGAGACACCTCACTCCTCTGGTCCCCCAGCTTCATGGGGTGAAGGGAAGGGTGGGAACTGAGGTTCAGGGATTACCATAAACCAGATTTTCTTTTCTGGGGTTCTGGAGTTAGTGGATTTTATGGACCTCCTTAGGCTCTGGGGTAGGGACAAAAATGAGGGGTGCAGTGTGCAAGACAGAGCTGCCAGCAAGTAGCGTAGGTATGGGGTACAGGATCTGGGAGGGAAGTGGGTGCAGAAGGGGGGGACAAGTTGTGAGGTCTGGGTGGGAGGTAAGGTGCAGAAGCAGGCTGGGAGTAGGATGACTGGCCAGGTGGAGGGAGCAGGAGCAAGGGAGGGTGCAATGTGCAACCAGGAGAGAGGGTGCAGGAACAAGGGAGGTGTTAGAGCAACCTGGGAGTGCCGGGTCTTGGGCAGGAAAGAGGAGTGAGGGGATTGGAGGGGGTTTGGGGCATGAGTGGGGACCTTACCAGGCTTCATGCCCTCTTGCAGCAAGGGCCGCAGACATGCAGTCCTGGCAGCCCCAGAGGGTGGCCCTGCTGCTGGGGCCCACATGGTCCGGGCCTGGCCCCGGAGGCCCTGCTGCTGCTGTTGACACAATCTGGTGCCACTCCAAGGCCCTGCTGCCACTGTGGTCTGGGGCTGGCCCTGGACTGTGTGGCCATGGCAGCGGCTCCTCCAGACTCCGAGGCTGGCCCCAGACCGCGTGGGCATAGCAGTGGCACCTCCGGTCCCGGCTGAGGCGCCACTGAAGAGCCTCAGCCCCAACGCTGCCTCCTCCCACTGCAGCCTATCCTGCTGCAGGGAACGGCTGCGTTGGGGAGGCGGGGTGGGGCTGAGCTCCCACCCATGTGCCACTGAATATCAGCTCATATGCCATAAGTGGCACACATGCCTTAGGTTGCCGACCCTTGCTCTAATCTCTACTCATGGCTCTTCCAGGTCAGGGCTGAGGCCTAATGTAAGGTGGCGTTGGGGAGCTGGCATCACTGTTAAAGCTCTCCTGAGTATAAAGACAGTACCTTTCACTAACACTAAACAGGCACATGCACAAAAGCAGAAGTAAATACTTGCCAAAATATTTAAGGAACTTTTAAGGAAACGTAAAGATGAAATTTAAAAGACCCTTTGCATAGTATTTTAATTAGAACCTTATGTTTGAGGACAGTCATTTTTAGAATTTTGTGAATTTTCTGTTGTACCATTAGCACCATTCTCAGCCAAACAATTTGATCTACTGACTTATGTGAAAATCAGCATATCTTGCCAACAAACAAGAGTTCCATATTATTAAACATCTTAGTGCCATTAACCCCTGGTTTATGCCCACAGGGGGAGCTGGGCCAGCAATTGGATGCATCTGTATTAGGCAAAAAGGTGTGTTCATAGTTAACATGTCTTAATGTGAGATATATTCCTAATGAAGACAAGGCAGTATGTAGTTTTCACACAAATTGGTGGACTGAGTTAAAGGCGAGTGTAGGTTTTACCTCAGCCTGTTAACATAGTGAAAATAGGCAGTTTGTAGTTTTCCTAGAAATTTTCCTAATGTTAGTTCAGAAAACGCTTTTTCCCCTAATGAAGACAAGGCCACAAGTTCTGTTTTGTCCCTGTATGAGAGGAGTCACATAACTCAAGCAAAGACTAGCGCCTTATAGCCACATTGTGAGCTGGACCTATCTTCATTGCCAAAAAAAGATGTGTGTTTACAACAGAGGTGGGGAACCTAAGGTTTGGGGGCTGGATGCAGCCCCCAGCTTACCTGGATCTGGCCCTCAAGGCTTGGAGCTCCCCCCAGCATTGGGGAGCCCATGCTTGTGGTCCAGTCCCCCCAACCCCTGAGGGGCAAGAGCACACAATCTAGCCTGGGTCCCCCTCTAGGTTCTGGTTTGCAAGGGGAGTGTCTTTCTGCTTTTTGGTCAGGGCCACATCAGTGAGGTGGAGTTTTTTGCACTTCTCACTTGTATGCGGCCCCAACTGATTTCTCTGTGGGTCAGCAGCCCCCTGGTTTATAACAAGATAGATGACTCACAATGTCTCCCTGGGGATCTACATCAATGCAGCTAAGACATTGGTAGTTTTTATTTTTTCCTTCATGGACCTAGCTGAGGTCAGTACTATTGTACCCCACTTGGAGTTGGCATTCCCTATCTACATCAAGGTAGTGCCTTGTCTCGCCAGGGACTGTATAATAAGGTAACTAAATTGATTTAGCTGCCTGAGTCTAAAAAACACAACCGTTTCAACAGTGAAGACACGGCCTCTAATATCTGCAGAGGGGAATCAGGAAGTGTCACCTTGCTGCCTATTTTTCCACTCCTAGCTGCTACTTCACTTTCCAAGCAGGCTTATAGGCAGGAGTGTGCAGAGCTTTGACTGTCTCCCCAGTGTGCAGGATCGTGCAGCTGACTAGCATGGAAAGGGAAGTAATCTGCACTCACTGTAGCAAGAGGAGAAGCAGATTTGTCTCTGAGGCAGCACAATTACATGCTCAGAGACAAATCTACAGGGATTCTAGCCCAGCTGCAATCTACAGGGATTTGGCAAAGCTGCATTCTAGCCAAGCCACCGGATCCAGCCCACGGACGCTGCAGAGAGCCCCAGACAGGCTCTCCACTTGCCTTGCCCCACATGCATGCCACTCAGGAATGCAGCTGTGGGGCTGTTTTTCTTTAAAAACTGTGAGTCCATAAGGGAGGAAAAGTTTAGGAGCTGCTCCTCCCAGCACAATCAGACTGGCTGGTTTCTGGCCAGAAACTAGCTAATGGGATCTGCCTGTTTCAATAACAGCAGCACATGTCTGCAGCCTGGGTGAAGGCAGGGCAAGAAAGGAGGCTGATTCAGGAATGGCTGCTGGCTGGTAAATCTCATGGTCAAAGCCTGCCTCAGGCACCCCAGCCCCTCTCTTCCCCAAGCCTCTGTCCCCTGCTCCACATACCCAAATCCTCTGCCCCCTTCCTGTACCCATATCCCCTCCCAGATCCAGCACTCCAATCCCCTGTCGCAGATCACAGTCCACTCCTGCCTGAGCGCTCAACCCAAATCCCTGTACCCCAGTTCCCTGATCTAGGTCACAGTCCAACCTCCTGCATCCCAGACAAGTGCCCTAGGTCACAAGTGCCTCCTTCACCCAAACTCCCTCCCTTACACCAAGCTCCCTTCTGCACCCAGCCTCCATCCCAGACCCCTCACCTCCTCCATTAATATCATGGAAGAGTGCGGCCCTTGACCATTTTCCAAATTCTTGGAGGGGGCCCCCATCAAAAATTATTGCCCACCCCAATCTAGCCCATAATGTTGAATTCACATCAATGAGCATGATTTGGGCAGTGCTGCTGAGAACTGATGGAGTGATTGATGCTCATTTACATAAGTCTATGATTTTATTAGTAATTCTGATAAGTTCAACTCTGCTCTAAACCATCCAACATCTTTCTGTGATCAGTATTTCTGTTAAACAAAGTAATCAGATTTCAAAACCCATTTATCTATCTATTTCACTGCTTGACATTTTGCAAAAAATCTATACAAACAAACTACTCCAGAATCCAAACTTCTCTTCTGTTTAAATTCGGAAGTTTTGAAATGATCAACAGAATGATCTACACACAAATGTGAGTCCCAGAAGAGGGTGGGGGAAGGGATGATTTAGGGAAGTTTATGCCAACCCCAGAGTGTATTGAACTGCAGAATGCTGACCTCTAGCCAACACAGATGAATTCAGGCTCCGGAAACAGACCTGTACATACTTAGACAGACAAAGAAATAAAAAATCCAGGTTGATATGACTAATGATACAACTCCAGAAGAAGAATAAAATTTCTGATTCTGTTCTAACCTGTGCCCTGCTCGGAGCTGCTGAGGATAT